AATTACTATGGTTTACCTTTTCTTTTTTCCACTAAACTTTTTATTTCGAGATCATTTTAGATCCACATGCAGTTGTAAGAAAAATAAAGAGATTCTGTGTCCCCTTTACCCAGCTTGCCCCCATGGAAACATCTTACAAAACCATAGCACAATATCACAACCTGGATACTGAAATTGGGTAAGTCGGGATACAGAACATTTCTTTTTTTTTTTTTTTTTTAATTTCTTTTCAGCGTAACAGTATTCATTGTTTTTGCACCACACCCAGTGCTCCATGCAATCCATGCCCTCTCTAGTACCCACCACCTGGTTCCCCCAACCTCCCACCCCCCGCCCCTTCAAAACCCTCAGATCGTTTTTCAGAGTCCATAGTCTCTCATGGTTCACCTCCCATTCCAATTTCCCTCAACATTTCTATCACCACAAGTCTCCCTCGTGTCGCTCTTTTATTCTTCCCATCCCCACAACTTCCTTCACTCCTGGCAACCACTAATCTGCTCTCCATTTCTATAGTTCTAATATTTCATGAATGTTGCATAAATAGGATAAAATGACATGTAGATTTTGGGATTGGACTTGGACTTTCTTTCTACTCAGCACAACTCCCTGGAGACCCATCCGAGTTGTCGTGTGGGCCAGTATTTGGTTCATATTTATTTCTGATTAATATCCCACGGTGTGGATGTAGCACAGCTTGCTTATCCTTTCAACATCCTGCTGAGGACTCATTTCTTATCAGAACACCCCCTCTCTTTTTTTGAGGGCCCGGAAGAAACAGGCAGGGAATCTTACTTGAAGTTAAAGTTTCAATTGTTTCCACAGGGCAGCCCCTGTGGAAAAAAGTACAGACGGCCCTCAAAAGATTAAAAATAGAAATACTATATGGGTATTTACATATACACTACTGGGTATTTACCCAAAGAAAACAAAAACACTAATTCAAAAAGGTATAAGCGCCCCTGGGGTCACTGCAGCATTATTCACAGTGGTCAAGACATGGGTACAACCTAATTGTCCATTGATAATTGTGCCCTGATCACTGAAATGGATAAAGATGTGGTCTATATAAACAGTGGAATATACAGCCATAAAACGAATGGAACCTTGCTATCTGCTATGACGTCGATCAACCTAGAGGGTATTATGCTCAGTGAAAGCAGTCAGACAAAGACAAATACCATATTATTTTACTTATATGTGGAATCTACAAAACAAAACAGAACAAAAAAGCAGAAACAGATCCATAAATCCAGAGAACAAACTGGTGGTTGCCAGAGGAGAGGGGAGTGAGAGATGGACAAAGCAGATGAGGCAGAGGCTTCCAGTTATGGAATGAGTAAGTCACAGAGACAAAAGGTACAGCATAGGGAATAGCGTGCATAGCACTGAATGTTGACAGCTGGTAGCCACACTTGCGGTGGAGCATAGTATGACAGATACATATGGCCAAACACTATGTTGCACACCTGAAACTAATGTAACACCATGTGTCAACAGTAATTAATTAATTAATTAAGAAAAAAAGAAAGAGTGACTGTCAAACATTCTCCCTGAGTGGTTGTGCCATTTTACATTCCCAGCAGCCATGCAGGAGTTTCCAGTTTTCTGCATCCCTGCAAGCATTTGCTGATGTCACTAGTTTTTATTAGGGCCAGTCTGATGTGTTTGCTGCAATTCACTTTTAATCATATATACGAAGATCCAGACAGGAGAGGGAAAGACCTGACAGCCACCCAGGTATCTTTAAGTATTTTGCTGTTTCCTTATGATTATCTTAATGTGCGTGATAGACCCAGCTCTGCTCTAAATGAAGCACTGGGTAGGAAAAGTAGAGTGCTTCCACAGAGTAATAAAGAGCAGCTACCAACTCCAACAGCAAATATTAGCCTGCACATGAAATTCTGGAAGCATTCCCTTTAATGTTCTAAGAGCAAAGCAAGAACAGCACTTCTGATCAAACTTTTCATTGGGAGTAATAGCAAATATCATCAAATAAGAAAAATATTATGAGGCATAACAATTAAAAGGAAGAAATGAAATTATTATTTGCAGATAATGTGGATGTCTACAAAAAATATTTAAAAGAATCCTAAACTTTGAAAAGTTATGACAGTGCACTAGGTTGTTGACACACAACATAAAAATTCAACAGCTTCCCTAGACATCAGCAGCAACCCAACTAAAAATGTAATTTTTTAAGAACCCCATTTATTCTAGTAACAGAAGTATCTAGGATTAAGCCTTTTAAAGTCTATGGAGAAAATTATACCACTTTAATAAAAGACCTAAAAGAGGACACATAGAAATGATGAGAAATATCCACATTTCTGGTTAAAAGGACATTTTTTGAAATTTCTACTTTTTCCAGACTAATCTATAAATTTAATGCAAATGTAACCAAAAATACTAAAAGAATGTTGTTTTGTCTCATTTTAAAACAGGTTCTTTTAAAAATATGCATGGAGAAGTAAAGGACCAAAAAGAGTGAAGATATTTTGCAGAACGTTTGACTATGGTACCCAAAGCTTTGAGTGCAATTGTGCTGATGGAAATGTCTCACTCATGCGCGCACTGGAAAGAAGTGGTTTCAGAGCTCAGGACACTCCTAGGCCATCTCTCCAGCACTGACCAGCCCTCCCCTTGCCACTCCCCCAGCCCCAGCACTTCTAAACTCAGCCTATAAGGCCCTCTACCCTCATTCACAGGAGCGTCCCCCTTCTTCCTCACACCATATGCAAATTCTTCACAGAAACTCCACCTTTTAGAACCTCCCTGTCTTCTAGAACTTGCAGCCTTTCATCAGCAAATGCCCTATCTCCCCCACCTCTGGACTTCTTGCCTTCACTGCTCCGCTTTGATGACCCTGTTCCTCACTGTTGATCTCAGATCACTGTCCCCCCTTTCTCCCTAAAAACCCCTTACTTTGACACTCACACCATCAACTGTATGACTGTAATACTTGCCTTAAAATAAAACCACCTCTCTGGAACTCACGTCTTCCCCTCCAGCTATCACTCAATTTGCTCTCTCCCCCTTTCTACAAAATTCACCCAAAAGAGTTTTCTGGACTTGCTGTTTCCAATATCCTCTCATCCATCTCTCTCTTTCTCTCTCTCTCAAGCTGTTCTATAGACATTCTTGCCCGCACTTACACAAAAACAGACTGCAAGGTCACCTGTGCCCTCCATGGTGGACTCTTCTCAGGTCTCGCCTTTCCTGAGCTCCCAGCAGCACTGGGCACAGCTGAGCACCCCTGCCTTCAGGACGGTGGGCTCACTGAGCTTCAGAGCACCGCTCTGGACTTTTCTTCGGACCTCGTTGGCCATCCTCTGAGCCCCATGGCTGTTGCCTTAACCTCCCTGACCTTGAAATGTCCATGTACCCAGGCCTCTGTCCAAGGACCTTTCTCTTCTGGGCCACTTCTCTACATACTGGTTACATACATCACTGGCAGGTCCCACTGCAAAATGACAATGCAAGGCCCTCATTCGAAAATCATTGAGGCCTCTAAGACAGCAACAGCACAGCATTAGAGCAAACGCAGGACTTGGCCAAGAGTGGGGCTCTGTTACACAGCTACAGAGAAACGGGTCCTGCTGAGGATACCTGAATTTACATCTCTGCTCTAGACCACTGTCCTGAACTCAGGGCTGATAAATGTAAACATCTCCAATCCATGCTCTCCCAGGCACTTCAAAATCAAATTCCTAACCCCCGCCCCTCTCACAAACAAATAAGAGCCCTGTTCTTCCTGCAGTTTTCCCCATCTCCCTGAGTGGCAGGTTTTTCAACTTTCTTTTTCCTCCTAGCGACCCTCTGATTCTCCTTTTACTGAAACCTCACGTCCAAATCACAACCAAATCTGTTGGCTCACCTTCAGACATATGGAGGACATGCCCACTCTCCCCGCCTCCACCCTAGCATTGCCACAGGTACCATCTGGCACCTGGATTACCGCTGTCCCCTCTCAGCTGGTCTCCTGGCTTCTGCCCACAGGCCCCACAGTCTAGCCTTAGCCCTCAGCCCGCGATCCTTTCACACTGGGACTGTCCTCAGGTGGATCTGAAGGTGCCCTGACGTTACTCAGAAACACTGGTCCAAAGGACTGATAGCTCTTTCCATGTCACGTGATTCAACTACAGAAACAGGAAAGTCGTTTATTTTCATATGCCTATTTTCTCAAAACAAAAACCTCACAAAGATGACAAGTGCCCCATCCCCAAATTGCAAACCCTGTCCCTTCCTCCCACCGAGGATCGACCTACAAACTTGCCGGCAGTCTTGAAATGGTAAGAAAGTGGATGGTTCCCGAAGTTCCCTTTCCATTTTTCATTACCTAAGGGTCTGGGTAACCCGACGCGGACCATAATCACCAAACATCCCGCTTGACATGATTTGGGTTTCTACATATGTTCTCTACCAAACAAAATGCAAGTGTCTGGACGTGAGGGGCCGCGGTGCTGCGTCTGAAGCACGGGGGTGTGGGGGTGGTTTTGGAGGTCTGGCGTACCCGCGCCCGGGCGCTTGAATGCGGGGGGGGGGGGGGGGGCGCTGTGCAGGTGGTCGGGAGCGAGTGCGTCGTCACCGTGTGCGCGCGAGGCCCGCGGGCCCAGGTTGCGACAAACATTCTTGTGACCCTTTGGCTCCCTAGGGCTCTGCTACAAACTACAAACACCACGCCGGGACAGGGCACACTCCAGACTGTCTCTGCGCCCACCGAGCGAGACACCCGGTATCCCCGCGTGGGGGCGGCCGGGCATGCGCGCCGTGGCTCGCACGCACGCGCATACGCACCGCGGCCCCGCGGGCGCTCCGGGGTCTCGGACGCCCCGGCCCCCTCCTGCGGCGCAGGTGTTGGGCCGCCCCGCCCCTTAGGTGCGGGCGGCCACCGACAGGCCCCAGCGGAGGGGGGCGGGCAGAGGGCGGGGCGGTGGTTCCCTTCCGCGCGCCGGCGCCCCCGCCCCGCCGACCCTCCTCGCCGAGCGCCCCTCCCCTCTCACCAACGGACGAGCGGATCCTCGACCTTCGGGGCAGGGACATCTTAAGAGCTCTGTCCAGGCCGGAGGCGTTCGGCATCGCGCCCCAGTCGGGGGCTACGCTGGCCCTGGGCGAGCGGCGGTGGCGGCGGCTGCGCTCGGGGCTGGGCGCAGGGGTGGTGGCCCGAGGGCCATGGGTGGGAGCGCTCCTGGGCCGGACTGCAGGGCCGCCGGGAGTGCCGGCGCCTGTGCCGCGGCCGCCGCCGGAGGAGGCTGCGTCGTTCGTGCCGCAGCCGCCGGCCAATGCGGCAGCGCCCGCGAACGCCACCGCTGCGGGCCCCGCTGGCCCGGCGGCGGCGGCGGCGGCAGCGGCAGCGGCGGGGGAGGGGTCCGGCCCTTCCGCGGGGAGCCGGGCGGGAGGAGGAGCGGACCGGAAGAGTCTGGACCGTTAAGCGGGACAGGGGGCTTTTAGGTGGCGGAGACGGCAGTGGGCGGGGGGCATGGATCGGTGTCCTAGGGGGCTCATTCTAGGAGGCGGTCACGTCTTGGGGTACTCTTCTCTGCCTGTGCCAATCTGCTACCTATTTTACCTGTCACTTGTCACGCGGCGCAAGTGTCCCGTGCGAACCGTTCAGAAACTCCCCTTTTCTCGGTTTCTGTTCTATTTTGTTGGGATCTGTATAGGTTCTTCAAGGAACAAGTATTTCTAAGGTGTAAGGGCCTGGAACGAAGAGAAATCCTGGGTCTCCAGACTCCTAACCCCCAGCCCTCCTAGAATTCCGATTAGTGGCATGTTAGAACTGTAAGAAGCCCCTGGGAATATTTAGCTCGCGACACACACACACACACACACACACACACACCTTCTTCCGTAGGAAACAAAAATCAATGAGAGGTGAGGTGACTTGTCCAAGGTCACTTGATCCATTTTTTATTGTTTTTACTCATTAGTATTTAAACCGGGCTTGGTCCTTCTGGGCACAGTTCCATAAAAAGAAAGGGGAAAAAAGCTGAATCTGTTTAATGTTTGATAAAATTCTGACCTCAGAATGAAGAGAAAAATGATTCAAGAAGAGTCTGAACTTACACTTACTGATGTGATCATTATGCTAAATTTAACATAAAATATCAGGGGCTGAGGAGAACAGAGTTCAGCAGAAGGAATTGGTGCCCCAGGAGAAATTACCATGCAGCCTCTCAAGCTCCTACTGGCTAGCCTCTGCTCCAGAATTTCTTAGGAAAAATGCAGTAGGGATGGACAGTAGACTGGCAACTTTAACTTCAAGTAGGATTCCCTGCCTGTTTCTTCTGGGCCCTCAAAAAAGGGGAGGGGGGATTCTGATAAGAAATTGAGTCCTCAGCAGGATGTTGAGGAAGAAGAAAATTTCCCAAATTGTTGAGCGGAGCTTCAGGGTGGGAGATGTTTTCTCAGCGGGTCTTCACAGCTGCTGAGGGTGAACTCAGCAGCTAAAGCCACTTCATCCTAGCAGTGAATTTATCAAAAACTGTCACTAATGATTCAATTTTTAAATCAATGACAACCCCTTGAAGGCTTAGCAGAACTGAAAAGGACTTGAGTGAAAAAATACAACTTTTTTAACTCCAAATTTTAAGATGAAAAATGTTTCCACCATAACCAGATGGAAAAGGGTAGATAGACATTATTTTTAATTTTTAAGAAGCTGAGTATGGTAAATATAGAGCATTGCCTTGCCTGCCCTAAGCTGACCCTGTGCCTTATCTGATTTTGTGCATCCTTGTCATGAAATGGGGGGCGGGGAGCACTTATGTTTCTGTATTTATCTTCTGATAACCAAAACTGTCTTAGCAACTTGGTACAGTGTTGAGATTCAGGGGCCCCTCTTTGAAGACGTGCAGGGAGCAGTAGATGGGTGACCCATTCGAACTTGTGTTCTCTCATTGAGTGCCATGGCTAATTTCCCTAATCTGACTAGCTGTTATCTCTCTTGGGAAGTTAAAGATGGCCTTTGAGCACAGAATCCAGACCTAAATACTATCTTTGAGGTCTTCTAAAGATATACATGCACAAAGAATAAAAACTAGCCGATGGGCATTATTTACTGTTAGTCTTAGAATCCAAATGCCAGTATGGCTCCTTCAATAACCTGTACTTGACCTCGCAAATGCTTTCACCCTTGCCAGAAGCAACATAGGCCAGAACCAAAGGAGACCCAAGAAGCCTGTAGAAAGAAAAGCCAATGTAAAATGAGAGCAACAGGGATAGTCAGAGAAATGTATTTTGTCTCTACTCTACAGAAGCAAGAACTTGTCAAGAAAGAGCCATTTGCCTCAGTTCTCTAGAGCCACCACCCCAAGCACTCAGAAGTCAAGTGACAGAAGCAGCCTGCGGAAGAAAAAAAAATCCCTCCAACGACAGGCGGAGCAGGATACACCAAGTCCTTAGCACTGGGCGTTGATAAATACCATTGAGTTAAGAGTAGGCCTTTTTGTCCCAAGGGATGATGTAGAAAAAAAAAGGATTAGAGTTTTCTTTCCCTGAAAGCCCGCTGTCTCCATCTTCTGTATTCTGTATACATCCTCTCTGGCAGTGAGATCGGCCAGGACAGACCCAGTTTCCCGGAGAGAGAACCTACCCCCTCGTGGTGTGGCTGCAGAAAGGTCGGCCATGTTTTCTCTCAAGACTTCCAAGGAGGGAAAACTGCACAACTTCTCTTTGCAGCACATTTCAATGCTCAAGAACGAGGGTTTTCAAGCAGTTCTTCCCTATGACCATCTTAAGTTCTATTTTAACTTCCACCCATTCTTATTTAATCTTAATGGTTCTACAGAACAACCAGCTTGCATCCTTCTCAAGAAGTTCTTTCATACAAATGAAGACTTTGAGCCATTTCTTAAGCCCCTTTCTTCAAACTAAAACCTCATTTTCTCTTAAAGTGCTTATACATGAAAAAATGTTCATGCATGTATACATATATATGTATATCTCTTATATGTGTACATGTCTATACAGAGGTAGACATTTTTTAAAAGGAAATGGCATATATACACCATATAAAAATGTATAAATATGCATAAAGTATTAATCCGTGTACCTACTCCCCAGCTTAGGGAATAATATAGACAGAATGGAAGCCACTACCAATCACTAACACCTTTCCTTTCTGTTTGTCCCCAGATCAATTTATTTTTAGGCTTTCTTTATAGGGCCTCCTTCCTCTTTTCCTGTTATTTACAAACAAGCTAAAAGGCAACCCTGATAGTATTGAAAAAGAATCCAGGAAAGAAAATTATGTAATAGAAAACTTCATTCTTCTTTGTCTCATGCAGCGTTCTGTAAATGCATTCTGATGACTTCAAATTCCTCTCATTTTTAGACATTTTACACAGTGTTGCAAATTGGACATAGAAGAAGAAATCATCAGTAGAATGGCCAATATCTATCTTCCTAGTGACCGAAGAGGTAGGTGCCCCAAACCTCTGGCCCTTGATTACTCATTAGCACTCGTGTCTAGCATGTGATGCTGGCTGCAGTCGGAATCTTAGCAGGGGCTGTCATCTGTATACTTCCTCTTGTCTAGGTAGCCTGGGCTTCCTTACATCATGGTGGCTGGTTTCCAAGAGTCCCAGGAATCAGAGCCAGGCAGAGGCTATGCACCTTTTCTAACCTGGCTTCCGGAATCATGCGGTATCACTCCCATCACAATCTGTTAGGGCAGTCGCAAAGACCCAGTCAGTTCAAGAGTACAGGAAATAGACTCCAGCTCTTGCTAGACTCTTCCAGAATGTAAGGATTGGAAACACTGTTGCAGCCATTTTTGAAAATATATCAAAACTGGCAACAAATTTTCATTTTAATAAAACATAATTGCACCCAAATCATAAAATATTTATGGAAAAATTAATGAAAGACATGCAAGATGTTCACATTAAAAATAAGGGACCCAAAGAACAAAATGGAAGGGCATGCATTACCTGATGTCAAATCTTACTGTAGTATGAATGCTCTTCAAGACAGTGTAGTGTAGACACATGAATACACAGATCAATTAAACAGAGTGAAGAAATAGGTCCATGTACATAAAATAATTTTGACAAAGGCTATTTAACCATATATATGCATGGTTACATATACATCAAGACAACTCAATAGGGAAAATACAATCTTTTCAATAAATATCACTATAACAGTCAGCCTCCAGTCATGATCCCAGGGTCCTAGGATAGAGCCCCACATTGGGCTCCCTGCTGTGCAGGGAGTCTGCTTCTCCTTCTCCCTCTGCCCCAGCCCTGGCTAGCGCTCGCTCTCTGTCTTTCTGTCTCTCTCTCTCTCTCTCTCTCAAATGAATAAAATCTTTAAAAAAAATACTCACCAAAAACTTGATGTTGATGTGGAAAAAAAAATTAAATAAACCTTGACCCCTTAACCAAACATAATAATTAACTCAAAATGGATCATAAACTTAAAGTATAAAAAGGTAACCATATAAGGCATCTAGAAGAAAACACAGAAGAAAATATTTCTTACACAAGACAGAAAACACTAACCATAAAAGAAAAAATGTACAAACTGGACATCATCAAAAAGAAAACTTCTGTTCATCAAAAAACAACACCAAGAGAAGAAATAGATAAGCCACAGACCAGGAGAAAATATTCCAATGTATACATTTGACAAAGAACCTGTTTCTAGAATATGTAAGTAACTCCTACAACCCAATACTAAAAGGACAAGTCTAATTTGTTAATGATCAGAAAAATGCACATTAAAACACAATGACATTCCAGTACCCACCAGGATCTGAAATCAAGATTAACAACTCCAAATACTATAGAAAATGGTGAACAACCTGAACTCATACTTGCTGGTGGGAGTGTGAAATGTTAGAACCACTTTGAAAAACTTGTAATTTCCTGTACAGTTAAATGTACACCTTCCGTATGACCCAGAAATTCTACTTCTAGGTATTCACCCAAGAGAAATGTACACATATTTACAAACAGACTTTAAAAAATAATATTAATAGTGGCTTTATTCATAATAGCCTCAAACTGGAAACAACCCAAATATTCATCGACAGGTAAATGGGTCAACAAATTGTATGTATTCATATAATGGACTATGACTCAGGAAT